TATATATCCTTATATTAAATATATTTTATATATTAAATATATATTAAATATATATATCCTTATATTTATATCCTTATATCAAAAATAGAAGGATATTAAATGAAACGGTCCATGAAGGGGCATGACGTTTAGGGTCTCATCTCTATCTATCCTTTTAATTCTGCTATAATTTTTATCATGAACGTAAAATAAGACACAAATGAGGGGGTGGAGATGCTGGGGGCGGGGGGCTAATGGGATCAGGGTGGAGGTAGAGCCACAGCCCAGCACTGCGTCACCAGGGCAAACGCCTTCAATGCAGCTGACTTTGCTAAAGACGGGTGAAGGGGATGTTTTAGAGGCATTTACGTTCGTTGCATCTTTATCAGCCCAAGAATGAGGCCTGCCTTCCCCTCTAGGCAAATGCTTAGCCAATGGCACCCAATACACAATGGGCCCAACTTTCAGAAAATTCAAAATAAATGTGAGATCAGAACCTATAAAAACAACAAAATACAAACCCCTGTTCACACCACAAAAGGGCTAACATTTCAAAAGCATCACTACTTTTTAGAAGAGTGTATCTGTTGTGGGATTTCATTTGCAAGGAACTTTCCTAGTATACTAGTATTTAAAATAAGTAAATTCCTGAAATTTAAAATAGATGAAAATAACAAAATTTAAAACATAGTTATTCATCACTGTATTTATGGAATACTACGTTACACTTACAATGGATGGGGGCGGGGTCATCTTTATAAAAAATCAGTGCCATTACCATTATTTTTTAGTCTAAGGTTAGTTTTATGTGCTATGTAATTATCTCATAATGCTGATATTAAAATGCTAGATGTAAGAAGACATTACAATTTAAATTTGAAAAGGGAAAATGCCAATCAGTTGTTTAAAAACCATGATGGCCATGGCAGGTGTGGCTCTGCTGGTTGAGTGTCATCCCCTGCACCAAAAGGTCGCTGGTTCAAATCCTTGTGAGAGCACATACCCAGGTTTCAGGTTTGATCCCCAGTCAGGATATATGGATATGGGAGGCAACTGATCAATGTTTCTCTTTCACATCAATGTTTCTTTCTCTCTTCCTTTTCTTTCCTCTATCTCTAAAATCAATAAAAATGTATTTTTTAAAAAAAATATTTGATAGATAAGTTGAAGTCAAGCTTAAAAGCAATGGGAACAAAATTTCTGCTCAAATTGTTTTCCCCTTTGTTCCTAAATGTTTAATACTTTAACTTTTTAAACTATTGAAATGCAAAGATTTCCATTATATTGCTGAACTGGAAATTGCTGAGATCTTTCTTCAAAATTTTATTTATGAAGGAAAAAAAATTTGCATGAACCCTACACTAATTAAAGCTATAGATATATTTTTTTTTCAGGCAATGTTTGAGCCCCAAATTAATAATCTCTGCTTTAGACTGGGAATAACATAGACTCTAGGAAAAGATAAAATATACGGAAGCTGAAAGGCCCATCAACCCCCAAATAGCGTCTGTTCTCCCCTCCCTCCCCCATCCCCCCAAAGGCAACCGGAGTGTCAAGCCAAGAATGCCTTGGCAGGGAATCTGCAGGGTCTAGCTTTGCACAGGAATGACCTAGAGCGGCGGTCCTCACACAGGCCTGCGGAGGGCTGAGCCTGCTCGGCTGTTGTGGGCAGTGAGGGTTCAATTGAGCAGCTGGACCTCAAGTCTCCTGCCTTCAATCCAAGCAGCTTCATCTGTTTACATACAGGGCTTCTGAGTACAATTTTGAAGGAAAGTTTTGGATGCTACAAAATATGACCTAGAGGACGTAAAAGTGCTGAAAAGGTTACCTCTGGGTGGTTTTATTTGTTGGATCATCCATGGTTGTTTTGCTATTTTTGCTTTCTGCATCTTCTAAGTTTTCGCAAGTGAAAAAGTATTAGTTTTGTAATCAACATGCACACAGTTACATTAAAATAAAAGAATAAGCTTTGCCTACTTCTCCAAATAAAAGTGCTGAAAACAGGCTTTTCGTTGGGATCGTAGCATTTTGAACGTGAGTTGCAGTTTTCAAACACAAAGCACAGCTGTTTTGTCTCTTACTCTGAAGCTGTGAAAAAGGGAAAAGATTTTGAAAGCGGGAACAGGAAAAGGCTTGAGAAAAGTGGCTGTTATTTCTGGGCTAAAGTCTCCCTGGCAACAGTCTTCTCAGAAGCTTTGTCTTCCTGGGTGGACTTCTCAGGGTTTATGAGTGATGATTCCAGAGAATTCATGGGACCCAAAGTCAGCAGAGACCAGAAGACACTGGAGACAAAGAAGAAAGTCAAAAACGGGCCACAGATATGTGACAGACAGACGGAAGGTAGCCAGTGAAGTGTAGATGTCAGTACAGCCACACCGTCCACAGAGATATGCAAGAGGACAGGAAGACAGAGGCCACTGGGTCTGCAGCCATGCAGGTTAAGCTGAGGTTCCTGATATGCAAGAGGTCCAAAGACCTCAAGGGCTGTGGTTGAAGAAAAGTGCCACTTCAAGAAACAGTTACAGCCCTAGCTGGTTTGGCTCACTGGATAGAGCGTTGGCCTGGGGACTGAAGGGTCCCAGGTTCGATTCCGGTCAAGGGCATGTACCTTGGTTGCAAGCACATCCCCAGTAGGGGGTGTGCAGGAGGCAGCTGATCGATGCGGAAGACAGAGGCCACTGGGTCTGCAGCCATGCAGGTTAAGCTGAGGTTCCTGATATGCAAGAGGTCCAAAGACCTCAAGGGCTGTGGCTGAAGAAAAGTGCTGCTTCAAGAAACAGTTACAAAGAGCAGAAGGTGAGTTTAGTCAGCAGTTGGCCAGGGCAGGAAAACTGCAGCATTGTAAAAAACGGGTAAGAAATGACTTAGAGGTGACAAACTCTAAAGCCACCACCATTATCACCAGAATGCTAAGGCCAGTGCAAGCTTAGAACTAAATGTAACAGATAAAAAGAACAGTCATAGCTTTCCAGACTAGATCACAGATGCTCCCAGTCCAATCAGGTAAAACAATGCATAAATGCACGCATGCAATGTAAAAGGTAAGTTAAGAGATTTAAAAAACAAAAACAAGAAACTTGCATCAGAAAAGGCATAAAAACGTACATAATGGAAACTGGACCGAAGCCAGTACAGAGAGAGCCTGCATCTGCTTCACAATTAGCACACATCTGAAGCTATGGTTCTCAAAGTGTGGTTCCCAGCCCAGCAGCACCAGCAGGCCCTGGGAGCTTGCTGGAACTGCGAATTCCCAGGCTCCACCTCAGACCTACTGAATCTCCAACAGGGAGGCCCAGGATTCTGTGCCCACCAGGTGATTCTGATACACACTGAAGTGTGAGAACCATTTAGCCAGAGGCATTAAGATGACCAGGAAAATCGACCTATCAAACCCAGTATGGCAAAGGGAGGAACATCAAAAGAGAATGTCAAATATAACCAATCAAGGAAGTCAATGATGGCTAGAATGCTTACCAATCTCTCCACCCTAATTCAAGTCACCATTGCTTGTTGCCTGGACAACAATAGTTTTTTGACTATGTCTCCTGGTTTGAACCTCTGCTCCTGGTGTAATGATTAAAACTCTCCCTTTAAGCCCCTCTGGTGTGGCTCAGTGGTTGAGTGTCGACCCATGAACCAAGAGGTCACCGGTTCAATTCCTGGTCAGGGCACATGCCTGGGTTTTGAGCTCAATCCCCAGTGGAAGGCATGCAGAAGGCAGCCAATCAATGATTCTCTCTCATCATTGATGTTTCTCTCTCTCCCCCTATCCTTTCCTCTCTGAGATCAATAAAAATATTTTTTTTAAAAAGGAAAGATCTTCAGACATACACTGGAATCATAATTTACACCCTGTGATGTTACACATTTACAAAAGTGCTTTTTAAAATGACTGTTAATTGCACGGTCCTCTGGTGTTCAAATTGAGTCTTGGGGACATTTAATGAGATAGCCACAGGCTTTAAAAATCTCTCATTTATCATATGCTTGCAAGAAGATAGTTCGCATCTGGATAACTTCCAAAGATTCGCTGATGCTCTAATGGACTTGGTCTGTGAGGGAGCAGGGGTTAGATTTGATGGACTTGTTTCCCGTAACTGTGACTGGCCATTAATTGTCAGGGTTTGCTGAACTGGCAGTGTACTCACGCCTGCCAAGGCCTGCTGGGCCCAGGGCGAGGCCAGGCCCAGGGAAGGAAGGGAGGGCCAGGGTAGGAGAATGAGACCGTGGCAGCGAACTTCCTGCCTAGTCCTTTCCTGAGAGTGTTGGCTGCTGCAGTCCTAGCTGTAGCGTGTACACGCCTTTCCCCTGTTCAGTAAGGGAACAAGATGCACTTGCTGCCCTAATGGTTTCAATTCCTCACTTGCTGGCATGACCTGTTGGGGGGGGCAATCTTCCATCCCCCAAAAGTTAAGTCTCAATGTTGTAAGGGAATGAGGAAGACCTTGGGAGTGGGGTTTAGCCCCCAAGTTTAAAAATTAAAAACAAATAAATGTGATAGGTAAATAGAACTAGTTTACCACATTCCAAATAAAAATCAATGAAAAGAGAATAATTTTTATTTGGAATTATAAAAGGTCTGGGTTTTAGCCCAAACTTGCTGATATTGGATCAGCAAGTTTGGGCTAAAACCCAGACCTGGTTGGACTTGCCCCATCCTTTCTGAACCAAGCCTGCCCTCAGGAAGCTTCTGCTCTGCTCAGCCCCTCCATGCAGGATGATTCCAGAACAGACACTGACGTGGGGGAGACATTTATGAGAACAGCTTCTAGTCCTAGGGCTCAGCTGGGAAATCCAGTAGTCCACAGTACGGCACAGCCTCCAATATGAGCTTTATTAGCAACATAAGGGGAATGTTGTGGCCCACCTGCCCGACTTCTATTTCTAAGTCAATTCAGAACTTGGGCTGAGAAGATGGGTGCTATTTACTGTACCCCAAACCCGCAATAAGTTGGAATAGCTATAGTCATTTTCATGATATTTCCTAAAATCTAACATATTTCAAATTATCTTTGCATTTTATAGAAAGTTGTGCTATGTATAAACTTATTTCGAACCATTTAGCCTCACAACTTTAGCAATTTTGCTCCATTTTCATGGGTCATTTTGTTTTGCAAAGTGAAAGGTCTGGGACCAGCCTGGATGTTGTTTCTTTTTGTTGTTTGTTTGTTTGTTTAAATTTATCTTTATTGTTGAAAGTATTACAGAGACCCCCCTTCTCCCCATTGACCTCCTTCACTGGATGCTGTTTCTTTGTAGCTAATTTTTACCCTGCATGAATGTTTTAAAAATAATTTTTCATTTTTTAAAATTTCAGGTTATGCCTGAATATTATTCTCTTTTCATTGTTTTTTTTTAATTTTATTTTCTTGTTTAAAGTATTACAGTTTTTACCCTGCATGAATGTTTTAAAAATCACTTTTCATTTTTTAAAATTTCAGGTTATGCCTGAAGATTATTCTCTTTTCATTGGTTTTTTAAAAATTTTATTTTCTTGTTTAAAGTATTAGAAATAGTAGTACATATGTCTCCTTTTTTCCCCCATTGTCATTGATTTTTGTTTGGGATGTGGTAAACTAGTTCTATTTACCTATCACATGTATTTGTTTTTACTTTTTAAACTTGGGAAAATTTTATTTGATCATGGTTTGTAGTCCAGTTGTCTTTTTTTTTTTTTAAACCCCATTGTCATTGATTTTTGTTTGGAATGTGGTAAACTAGTTCTATTTACCTATCACATTTATTTGTTTTTACTTTTTAAACTTGGGAAAATTTTCTTTGATTATGGTTTGTAGTCCAGTTGTCTTTTTTTTTTTTTAAATCACAGAAGCATCTATCATTGCTGAATTAAACCTCCAATTTCTGTCCTCCATGTCAATCATCTTCTTTCTCATTTTCATCTCTGTCCTCCCTGCATTTTTGAGAATCTTTTCAAGTCCGTCTTCCACATCTCTGACTCAATGTTTACCATGTTAACTCTGCTCCTTACTAATTCTATTTCTGTTCCTGTTTCATATGTGAACATTAAATGTTTCCTGAATAAATAACAAATGAATGGTTACTGTGGGGTTTTAGTTTTCTGTTTGTTCTTTTTCCCCCCTCTCTTGTACTTCTCTTCATTTCATGCCATTGTTTCTTCGTGTCTAGTTTTTTCTGCCACTTTCTTATACCCATTTTATAGAGCCATGTCTTCCTGCATCCTAGAAGCACACCTGGTTCTTATGACAAACCATTTTTCAGAGGTCTGTCCTTCCTCCGAGTCTTCAGTGATGCTTTCTTCCTTTTACTTGGCAACACTTGCCTCCCCCAACCCCCGAGACCCATATTTCACACTATCTTCTCATGACAGAATGAGGTGAGCTCCACCAGACCGTGTGTTGCTCATACCTGCAGAGTGTGCATGTTTTCCACCTGGTCCCGCTGCAAGTGGGGTGGATTGGGTCACCTTCTCAGATCTATGCCTGACGTCCATGTGTGATGAGTTGATGCACACAATTTTTGGCTACTCCCCACTTTCTAGCAGGAGTGCACCTAACGGGAATATGCTGGAATGAAATAGAAGCCTGCCCTGCCCCACCGTGTGACTCTCAGATGTCCCGGACACATGGAGTTCATAAAGTGCAGCGGTCCCCATGTGCCGACAATGCTTCCGGAATGCTCCCACCGCAGCGCTTCACTTGTGGGAATCAAACCTCCCAGGATGAAATTCCGTCCTCTCTTACTTCCTGCCCAGTTGTTTCCTGAAAGTGTTTTATTCTGCTGAGCACAGAGAAAAAAAAGAGAATGTAAATATCTGCTATGCAGGATGGTCTTAGGCGACCCCTGTGAAAGGGTCGTTTGACCGCCAAAGGGGTCGCGACCCACAGGTTGAGAACTGCTGTTCTAGTTGATCACCAGAACAGATCACCATTTGCGTTCAAATCAACTTCTTGGGCTTTAGAATTGTGGTAAAATTCTTCCAGATTCTGGCACTGGGTTAACCAGCTGTCAACCAACACTTGGTGACAGGTTTCGAAGTGTAGGCTTCTAGAGTCAGAAGGGCACTCTTTTAGCCACTTCACGCACATTACCTCCTTTTGTCCTCATAAACTAGGATAACATGCGGCTAAGAGTCGAAGGAAGAACTGGTAAGTGGTGGCACTGAGATCTGAACCCATGATCCACCCCAGGGTCTGTGTTTTTTTTCTATTCCATGCCGTCTCCTTCCGCATTTCACCCGAGTGAAGCAGGAGGTGGGTGGGCAGGCTCCCATACATGGGCTGCCCTTTGAGTTGGGAGGTCATGATCGTGACCGAACTCTGGGTGCTCATTATGTGAATGTGTCAAGTGATGAGGATAAGAAAGGCCAAGTCACTGGTGAGCCTGGTGATATGGAGGTGCAACCTGAATGAGGAGAGCTCGAGTAGAGTGTTCAGTCTGAATTGTTCCATCTGGCCACTGGCAATGCCTCATTTCTCAGACAACTACTCAGTCAACGGTCCTGTGAGTCACCATCACAGAAAACCAAGTGTGACTATGCCACCAGGCACCAAGAACAGCAAGGCATTTGGTGTCTGGGAAGGCCCCAAACTAACACTGCCAAGATCTCTTTCCTTCTGATTTTTCAATCCATGTGTGCTT